GAAAACATCGTGGGAGCATCGGACAGGCTGCCTGGTGGCGGCCTTTGTCATTGGAGAACCAAATATGGGCGCACTGCAGCCGGCAGAGTGGTCCGGGACAAGTTGAGGGATGCACGGAGGCGTCTGTCAGGATGTACGATGATGCGATGTCGATGGAATAGGGTGTGTAGAGGTACCTCATGCAGAGATGCAGAGGTGCCTCTTTTTGGGACTGTCCTGAGGCAGGGGCACCAGGACCTCAGGGTGCCCTTGGCCCTTGGCCCCTTCGCCGTTTGCCCTTTCCCCCTGTGCCTCCCCTGGCGCAGGGTCGAGGTTAGGGGGTGGTCTTGCCCGACGCTCAGGGGCCCTGGCGGGTTGTCTTAGTAATCGCCGTCTTGCTTTGGGGGCCGAAGTTAGGGAGGTGCGGCGCCTGGATCAGGTACTCCCCACGCCACCTACACAACAACTCCTTCAACACTTGGTGACAATCACTTTAAAAAAAAAAAAAAAAAAAAAAAAGGCGATTCGCATCGCATCCTTTCATTCGCGGCCACTGCTGAACTCAATTAGTGCGTCACTTTCTTCGGCGCACTATGGGCTATGACTACACTCTCACAGGAGACTCAAGGCAGCCGCCTCACTCCTCACATCATCCTTGACGGACTGCTCCCAGGCGTCTTCGCCCCTGGACGGCTTCCATCCCAGCCGGCGAGCAACGCTCGGAATCGATCTGGCATTGGCCGCCAGGATCGCTTCGATGATCTGAGGGCCCGCAAGCTTGATTTGTTCTTCCGTGAAGGCTTTCATGTGAGGGAGGACGGCCCACGCCGCCTCTTCCAGCCCAAGATGCTTGATTTGCTTGTCTGGGAACACGCCGAGCTCATGGCCGGCAGCAGCGATCAGCTCGGCCTGCCGGATCATGGTGTGCTCGCCGTGCGCGCTGAAGATGATGCCCCTTGGGCCCGTTGGGAGATTCTGGCCCTGGCTGTCGAGAATGTCGAGCAGGGCGAGTTTGTAGAGATCTGCGAGGTCGGCTATGTGGACGTGGCCGTAGATGTTGTTGCCCGCCTCGACGACAGCCACCTGTCTTCTCTTCAGGGCGGTACGGTGGGTGAAGGTCTGGATGCTCGTTTGGTTGAAGATGCCTCTCCCTTTGCCGTAGATGATGGGGCTCATGATGACGAGTGTCTTGACGCCTCGCGCCAGACCTGTATCGACAACGCTGAGTTCTCCCGTGCGCTGAGGATAGGCATGCTCTGCCTCCAGAGCCTTCTCGTAGCTGTAGGTATCGTCGACGAGGTCGTCGAAGACACGGACCGGAACATTGGGCTTCGTGATAGGCCTGTCGCCAATGTTCGAGGTGCCCGACGTGTGCAGTATCCAGACATTGCGACCCGTCAACGCCTTCCGCTTAGCCAGACCTTCGACCAGCGCGACTCCAGCCCGAGTGTGGTGGCCGGCTGTGGTGTTGATGACGATGTCGTGCTCGGCAGCAGCAGCGGTGGTGGTCTCGAGGTCGTCGAGGCCTTCATACACAACTGGCTTGACTCGATCTCCATACGCCAATGAGAGCTTCTCCGCTCGATCAGCACCGCGGAGCAGGCAGGTGATCTGTGCATCTTTGAGGGACGGCTCTGGTGATTCGAGAAGGTGGGTTAAGATGCTGCCACCGATGAAGCCGGTCGCCCCAGTGAGGAGGATTTTCTTGGTCTCGACAGTCATTGTATCCGCGATGTGTGCCGCCCGATGGTTTGCGCAGTTGATGTGACGGGGTTTGCCGTGTTTCGCTGTCCTCTACTTAACGCGTTTCGTCTGGCGCTTAAAGCCCGAGGCGGCAATTGCGCCCTGCGGAGTTGGATGCGGAGTTTTACCAACCGAACCCACAGGTTGAGGTCCAACCGGCTATCCGCATTCGATATCAAGCATACTGCTACCTGCCGATCTTCTTGGGATGATTTGAAATCAAGTGTTATTCCCATACTGTTGTGAAGCCTCGGTACACGCTGTTGTTCAGCACTTATTAGTCCATGGTACTCGTGAGCACTGGTATGAATTTGTCCGAAGACCCCAGGGAACAGTGCGACTGCCTTCTGTGGATGGATGCATTGTGTCCACTCGTCACAGTTTCTCAACCGATTCTGAATGATATCTCTAATAATTTCCGGTCTATTTCACTACCAGCACAGCAGCTCGAGCATAGATGGCGAAATGTCCCGCATCTCGAACAATGAGACGACCATGGGCGTCTTCCCGTCAATGGGGATAGCAGGTTGAAGTGAATGCGTGACTGGAAGTGCCAATGCATGGTTTAGGGCAAAGTGGAAAGTTCTTCCATACGTGGTCCGCAGGCAATGGGTAATGGGTATAGTATCATGATATATATTTGAACTATGGCCCTTCGCGGCTCGGAGAGCCGTCCGTAGTCCTTATGTGTACGTTCTCATAGTCCTTAGCTCCCTGATCACCTCCCCTCCCTCTTGTTGCATGGCTCTGCAAAGCCACTTAAGAGAAAGGAGGGTTTTCCTATGCCTCATGGCCATCCTCCTTGTGCACACCGCCACCTAGGTTTTACTGCAAGCCAACAGTATTGGAAACTCGGGCGTTTGGCGATCCGACAATGTTGGATACACTAGAAATTATAAATTATAAATTATCCCCGTCCAAGCAGGTTCTGACCAGAGCTACAGAGATAGAGGACGAAAGAGAATCGGATTGAGCGTGATAGTGGACGTTTTGTTGAAGATGTCAGTTCCCTTGATCAAATTGTTGCCGTTTCCCGCAACCCAGGCCTTGATTCCGGCTCTTGACACTGTAGAGTCGTCTTTATTAGCAGTGTACTATTGACGATAATGTTCACAGGGCCTGGCGGCGTTCCGCCGGCGAAGGAGACGAGAACAATGGCGAAAATGCCCTGGCCCAGGGTGACACTTTGCCCTGCTAATCTAAAGCCACGGCGACAGGTGGCATCAGGCAAAGCGAGAGACGTGTTGGATGGTAGTTAACCCAGCGGAGGTGACTAGCAAGTTGCCATCGTGTAGAATAGCGATGTTCTCATCCTTTGGAGCAGTGTCCTCAACCTTAAGCACAGACAGGCCGTCCGTCTCCGTGGTCGTTGGGACTGCCCATGAGCAGCTGGAGTGTAAGAAGCAGAGCCCAGGGCAAGGAAAATGCGTGACACTGACATCTTCTGAGATGTCCCTCGCGTCAACATGCAGAAGTCTGGTAAAGGTTATAATGTGCTGCAGCCCAGAGTCGGGAAACCGCTGACCTCCTCGGTACGTTTCACTTGCCCTGGGCACGATGGCTGGCCAATTTCTGAAGAAACATACGAGCAACCCAGGCTTTATCATCTACCAAGACAAGGTCACTCAAGGAGACCAACTCGACTTTGCAGAAGAGCTACAAGCAATGTATTCTACAAGAATCTACCGTCCCAACAAGCCAATGAAGAGCGCCTCATTCCCACGCTAACAAGCTCATGATCATTAAGGTATGTGGAACTACTTGGGCTCGTCGCAAGTCGAAACTTTTCAGGAGTGTTAGTCTTTCTCAAAGTCGCCAAGAAAGGCAAAAAGCCGTGATGCCTCCATTCAGTACCACTCTCTAGCTCATCTTTCAACGCTTGTATGAAGACATCGACCTGACGAAAGGACTGTTTGAGAACGACGTTTGAGTCGGATCTTTGAAGTGACTTGATGAGTATTTGTCAGGTGGCCCTGCGGAGCTAGTAAGCAGGGGGGTCGGTCAGGGGCTAAGGGTTACGAGAAACGTATGCATAAGGACTGCGGAGGGCCCTTCAAACTGCAGAGGGCCAGAATTCAGATGTATCCCGACCTCCTACCTATATTCTAATTGCCTGCGGACCTTATGGAAGACCTCGTCACTCTGCTCTATACCACGCACTGACAGTTCTATAGCACTGCTGCTCAGATTCAAGATGAACGAAATGACCCTCCCTTAGAGATCCAAGTCCAAGCTACACATTGCCCGCTCGGCGAGTCTCGGCCAACCATTCCAAAGCCTTTTCAAGTGAGAAGGCCATGCACTTAGCCTTTCGCCTGCAAGAGCCGAACAAGATGACCTTGCTGGTCATGTAGGAATCCAGAATCGCATAACCAAAAGATATAAAAGGAATCATGTCATAGAACAACTATTATGGACGAGCCCCTCTTCGGAAGCCTACTTTCACAGCTCCCTCTCGGCAACTCTCTCCGAAAGCTGCGAGAGATCTTTATACTCCCGCTTCCTTCGGATATTATCTCTCGGGGACCAAAGGCTCCCTTTAATGACAATCTGGTAGCCCATAGTCTCTCAAGTGCTATGACGTTTCCGATGCGTGCAAGTTTGCCGGTATTGTTTTCGTATAAGCGAAACTTCCATAGCAGCATTATCGTACAAGATGGCCTATCAGTGGCTTTGGTCTTCTGAAAACATGTAGCCTCATTAGTCCCATAATATTATCGCAAGCTCTTTGCGCAAGCTCTTTGAAACATATGCTACAGGCCGGTGGAGGCTAGGGCGTGGTGCAACGTGGAGAACATAGTAACAGAACACCTGTGGACATTCTCAGGTTAAGCACCGCGGAAGCATTCTTAAAGTCTTCCAGGCCGCAGGGATATACAACAATGCGTTCCAAGTCTGTCGTCCTTTCAAAGGACTGCAGCCAAGTCGAAACGGCAAACTCTAGGGGATCAGTAGCTCGTTGAACAAGGCACACATGGATATGGCCTTGCGCGTGTTACTATATATTCTCCATTGCACGGTATTTCAAGGTCAAGTCAGGGTTGATAGCCGTCTTGTCCAGGTGGGGGCTCGATACATCGGTAGGTGAATAGGGCCACACAGTGGCATCCATAAACCTAGACGTCAGGGTGTCACGAAGCTCCCGGAAACCTCCGCCAAATTGTATCAGAATATGCAAATGTATATGAGGGTTGGACTATGGGCGCCCATAACATGTACTTGTAGCATCTGACGAATCTTGATTGACTCCATATTTTTGGCGGTGAGTGAAATGGCCCTGGTCATGTCACCCTTAGATAAAAGTGTCTTCCGCCAAGATACCATGTGAAGAACTCGAAGCATGAGTTGACGACTCATGTCTTTACTAGCTGGGTGTCATTGCTGCGGACCTGGGGCTTGGTTCAGCCTATTCTGACTGCGAGGCCTAAAGCTCGGTAACCAGTTAAGTTGCAGCGCTGACGCATGTCATCGAGATCCATCGACGGTCAACTGGGTTTCTGGCGTTGGGAGAAGTCCGGTTCAGCGTGCAAAAATCCGGGCACTGGGGATTCGTATCTCGCAGGGCATCGCCGAGAGTTGGCAACTGTGGGCTCGCTCCGCGATTCTCGGGAGTGATCCCCTGGATAGCCTCGACATTCGAGGTCAAGGCTACGGTGTTGGCAACGGATCTCCACTTTGTGGAGGTACCTCCGAAGCATGCCACGGAAAGCGCTGGGCATTCGCAATACGGACTGCCGGTGCCCGGTTATTGACAACAGAAAGATGTTTACAAGCCTGTGCTCTGTGGGACACCCGAGCGGAAGTTTTGAGTAGAGAGAGAACCCACAGAGAATCGCAATCAAGTTGTCTTTCCAACGCCCTCGAGGCAACTTGTCACTGCAATCTAATTCAATGTCTTCCGAATGGTGCATGGCTGGCAGGCCATATCAATTGACAACACATGCTGCTAGAAGGCGGCTCAAGCACGTCGAATCAGACCCATTGAGTGTAAACAATATCGGTAAAGCGACCAGGAGTTTGCCCATATTGGAGGATGCGTTGGTGGACCTTCAGTTGCCTTCTCCAATCAATACATCCCTCGTGACCGCTTGGCAGGCGGGAATAAAGGGGGATAGCTGATCGTTGCCGCATAAGCGTACCCCATAAATCGTCTGTCACTGGCAGCTTGTTTATGTACACAAGGTGTCCATGTCGGTGTGCCTATTTGATGGGGGTGGTGAGACTCACTGCTAGAATCCCACTGCCTTGGTGTCAAGACCCTACCTGCGCTGATCGGCCGGACCATCCATGAAAGGATGATCTGGTAGCCGTTTAGATGTGTCACCCGACGTGTTGATTTTTCCCTCCTGCTAGCGTTTTGATCAGTTGTCGCATTTCGGCAGGGTGCCACTGCACGCGCCCATTGCGTCGCGCGTCGTCATGCAAATGTCGGGTGGATGACCAAAAGTGACAGGGCTATGAGAGCTCCAATTCAATCATCAGGTTGTGATATGAGCGGCTGCTCATGCCTGTCAATGCCGTTTTGCTCCAGTTCTTCCAGCCAACGTCGCGCAAACAGCCGATTATGCCATCTCAATTCTGCGAGAGCCGCAGCTCTGGGTGTTCAACATGAAGGCCGAAACAATCATCAAGCTTGGCTGCCGTGCTCAGCCATCCAGCCAGCCAGCCGAGAGGAAACAGCTCAAGTGGCTCCCTGAGGGCACCCGCTAGGCTCAATTGACGAGCCTTGTGCTGTTTGAGCGGTCCTGTGCTGTTGATGACGGCATTTTCTGAGCTCTATCTCACGAGCGTGGGGTTTGTTTTCTCCTTGTTCTCCACCCTGGCGTTTCTTTTGAGAATCATTCATGAGGCTAAGACCTCCCTAGTTCATTCCTCCCCCCCTCCTAGCTAGGGCCCGCCAGCAGCCACGTTGGGTCATTGACTTACAAGGCTGGGGCTGAAGTGGGTGTCCGTCAGGGGGCAGACAACAAGACACGCCAGGCCTAGATCCGATCGTCGAGAGCCTGTTGCACGTGCACGTACCTCTCTCTCTAGGTTGACGCCTGCTGGAAATGCTGTCTCTTCACCTGTCGCAATCCTCACTTGACAATGATGCCCAATAAACATCGCAAGCCTTCTTGAACGATGTGGCGACTAGCAATGCCCAACCCCTGGCCAAGCCACACAAGACGATAGATCCCGCCCGCAAAGTGCATCCCCTGACGCACAACCTGACGGACAAAGCGGTGGCGGATATTTGGAGAGGGGAAAAAGTGTGGAAAGCGGCCGTTTGCACGCACCTTGGCGAATAGTGCGGACCTTTTGCTCCGCCGGTATGGATCCACGTCCAGAGAAATCCTGCCTCTTCATCTGTCTCTGTCAGAGGTCGTCTCGATAGCCCGCGAGTTCCACGTTTCCGTGGTCCCCCCGCATCGACAGCTCAGTGATCTTCCCACATTTTTAACCCTTCAGCGTGGTATGGCTGCCCGAGGCCGCGGTACGGCACATGCTTCCGGGGTTGCCTGTCGCCAGATGTCCAAGAGGATAGATAGGTGGACTCATACAACCCATGCCATCACGCAGGTCACGTCACGCTCCAGTCATTTGAACTATTCCTACTCTATTTTTTTTCCTTTGCCTCTATCCCTCCCTCCTGCCACTCGGGGCGTTGGTCATATCCGCAGCCTAGACCGCTTTGTATCACGACCAATTCGCCCCCCAAAAGGCCCTTCTCTCCTTGCGCCCCTGGCATCCCCAATGGATTGTAGTAGTTGTCTGAATTCCCATGGACGTCTTTGCGCACCTCTCCCCTCTTTCCCATTTCTTCCTACATCGAGATTTGCCCTGCCTGGTCGCTTCAGTCTAGATCGACGCCCGCCACGGCCCCTGGGAATCTAGGTCGCCGATCCCCTGACTTGCATTTCGCCCCCCTCGACCACTGTCACCTGTTATAGGCAACTTAGAGAGTACTCATTGTTGTGCCACTTTCAACATAATTTTCGAAGCTCTCAAAGTCACGGCGTCTTTCACGGTTCTTCGCAGGCACATATAGACGCAGACATCGGCCTGAACTCGTGACGAAGCGCCCCCAACGTCCAAAAGCCATCCTCGACCGTCGCATCTATTGTTGAATTGGTACCCCCTTTCGTCTCTCTCCCTTTCCCTGTGTCTTTCTCTTTCTGGCTTTCACGGGGCAGTTTGTGAAAGCCCACGGGGCAATGTCTTCTCCTTCAACAAACCGAAAGCCGCGCGTCTGCACTCGAGAGGCTTGCGAACCATGCCGAAAAGGTCGATCAAAGGTCAGTCAACTAGCTGGAGCATGACCAATTCTCGTATGTCACTGAGCGATGGAGAGGTGGGAAACTGACAGGGCTGGCTCTTTCCAGTGTGATGGACAGACACCATGTGCACGATGCTCGTCGCGGGGACTTGAATGCGAGTACCAGGCTCGGATCCACCGCAGCAAACGCAGCCTCAGAGACGAGATTGAGGTACTCAAGCAACGGCAGCGCGAGCAGGACGCGCTGCTTGAAGCGCTGCAGGATCCCCTGCGCAGAGACGCTGCCTTGCACATGCTCCAGGAGAGAAGCCGTGCGGCCGCGGTCCTGAACGACAGCGAGCTAGGCCAGCAACAGACGGACATGCCGATCAAGCAGGAGGAGAGGAGGCATTCCGACGTCAGTAGCTGGAACAACTTTGACGACATGAGGGCGTCGTCTGGAAGCCCGTTACAGGGGTTCACCTCTAGTTCGACAACGCGCGCGATGGTCTCGACGACCCCTCAGATGTCTTGGACTACGACTGGTCCATCCATGAGGCCTGACACGAGTGTGACTTCCGGCATGGAGACTGGCGCGTTCCAAGCGCCTGCCACGACGGCACGCATTCGCTGGTCAGCTCGATCATTTCGCCCACAGTGGGAACGACTCAGAGCCGTCTCCCTGCAACATCACAAATGCATGGCAGTTATCCAGGTGGCTCTGCGCCCGCCATTGCCCTTTCGAATGCAGAACAACGACTGGAACAAAGAGGCTGCTAGCAGCCAGCTGTCCTCGCAGCCTTGGATGGGACCGTCACCGGGTATGGTAGGTCACGTACCTTTGCAGCAACAGCAACAGCAAGGCAAAGGTGCGTATCACGTTGGAGGCGTTTATCACCCGTCGTGGGAGAAAGGCCCAGACTTCAGCGGCGCCCCGATGCATGGTCCCCTGGACGGAATGGAGTGGACGCAGGGCCCGGGATTCACACCAGTAACAAATCCCAGCACCTCTTCGTTTCCTCCAAACCTGACCACCCGGCCTGCTAGCCCCGTTAACTCGCGAACGAACTCAAGCTCGACGACAGCCTCCTCCGGAACGACACAGTCATCGGCACCCTCCATGACTTCGGCAACCCCGAGCGTGGGCGGCTTGCCATTCTCCCCCTCCATGAAGCCTCCGCCTCCCGTTTCCTTCTTCGAACCGGTGGACGAGTCTGGACGCCGGCAGAGCATGCCGGATTGTAGCACAGTCACGGCGGATGCGGCACCCATCGAATGCGCCGACGCCCGCGAACGCCATCGCATCGCCTCGGCCCGGAGCTGGAGCAAACAAAAGAGCGCCATCGCTGACCTGCAGGCAACTGTGTCTCGCGTCGAAGCGCAGCACGCCACGCTGCGGCAAGAGTACACGCAGGTACTGAATCAGGTTCACGACGTCCACAACGCGCTACTCAAGCACGTGGGTTGCAACGACCCCGCCATATCCATGTGGCTCAAGCAGGACCAGGAGGCATCGACGGCGGGCATGAGTCGGGAGAAGCCAGGCCCCCTGCGGCCGGTAACGAATGAGTTTGTCGCAGAGTTTTCTCATGATGCATTCTGAGCGGGCACGAGAGGGAATATCACGATACCAAGAGGGCGCACCCGCAAATGACTTTGCAAGGGAGAAGAGTTGGGTATCTAGTAGAGTAATCATTGGAGTTCCTGGCATACTGTTACTTTTCAGCGCAAATCACACACAACGGCCATAGACGAGAGCAACTTCAAGGCGTTACGGGGAAAGACGCTCTTTGATCCAACGGGCAAACGGCATATCACGATCGGAAGGTCAAATGAACACGGCTGATTTATCAGCAAAAAGGGGGGATGGGAAGGCCATGCAACGATAGGAAGCAAACGCGTGAATACAAAGCTTGCGTCATAACACACATTATCCGGCTAAGCGTCACTCTGTCCCATAATTATCCAGTAAGCGGCCCACCTCCTGGAAAGGTGTAGGCATTGGCAGAGGTTTTCATTTCGGAAGAAGTACAATCATCGGAGGCGGACAGAGTGCCGGCCTGTTCAGCACGAATTGACTTCGAGCAACACTTGGCCGCGTCCACAGCACAAGGGGGGGAGTAGGTCCCACCCTCCCTTAAAGTGAGGTACTGGGGGCATTTTCTCCGGGCTGCCAGTCGCAAACATGTGAGCTAAGCTATTTCTCGAAAGGCCTTGCGAAGGATCCCGGACTAATTAGTCTCGTGAATTTGGTAGGGGTGTTAGGCTATTGAACTAAACTGTTATTTCGATTGTCTCACAAGGCCGTGTCGTAAACCAAGCATCACTCCCTGCCCCATCTGCATCTGGGCAGTAAGTCTGCCTGACAGCTCCGTGATGCAACCCATCAACAGTAGGGGCCACAAGGATGCAGGGAAAGCGGGTTCTCTGACGGCCCCGGGAACTGTTCCGAAAGGGCACCATGAATGTCTGAGTTGGGGGGACCACTGCTGTGCTGCATCCAGACTCGCTGGCTGAAGCTTCTAGACCGCTTCCTGGGCTTCTGCACATCACGGGCGCCCCGTGGCTCTAGCTAATGCGAGACTGAGGATTCTTGCAAGCCATGGCCGCCACTTTTTCGAACAGACCTGTCACGGATTGTGCTATAGCAGAGACAACATGGTCGCCGGCTAGTACGCAGCAGTCTCAGCCCCTGTACTTTTGAACAAAGAGCATGAGAAACCTAAGTCCCTAGTAAAAGCAAGGAAAGGAACGCAGGACTTTTGTTTTGCTGCTGTGAAAATCGCCAATCTCTCGATCATGGCTATTTGCAGGCATGATCAGCAGCCAGCCTCCCTGCGTTTTCACTCTGATCAGTGACTAACACACCCGATTTCGTGTTCAAATCTGATAGCAAACGGGGCGTCTGGCTGGGAAATCTCAGAGCCATCGGTCGATCACGTATTCAAGCGAAGTTCTGTACGGTGACAGAGGAGCGGATCCAGGTTTGGTGTTACTTCTCTGTCGGATCTCACGGAACTTCGTGTCTCTTTTGCAATGCTCTTCATCCACCGATTTCGATTGTGCGATTCTGCAATCCAGAATCACGGGGGTCTAGCGCATCATCTTCGTTTGGGTGACTAGAATCTGGCTCTGTAAGATCGGCAGCTCACCGTCCAGTTGAAAGTGGTAGAGGCCCAAATGATGACCAGTCGAAACCCCCCCCCCCCCCGCATAAATGGAGAGGGCTTGTGGCTCCAGCTCCATGCCGTGAAGTCTACGTCAGTGGATCAGCATGGCATAAGAAATCATGGGGATATGACATGATCTGCAGCTGGGCTCAATATGCCGTATGGGAGCTCCATCTAATTAACTGCCAGAGTGGTGCTGTGTGCGCATATGATGACAACACGGTTGCTCGAATGATCTCTCACGGCAACGTCATATCATGATTTTGTGTCCTGCGTCAATTTGAGGACGTCAGAGTTGATCATTGACATCTCAACAGTTTATAAAAGAGATGTATTACGATCGTTCATGTATTTTGCCCGGATTAATTCAGACTTTGTAGTCAACAATATCGCAGGGTTTAAGCAAAACAAAACATCAGCAGACCAATCTGTCATAACATCGACGACCAATCCACAATCATCATGGCCGACAACGGCAACCCCGGAAACTTTGCCAACCGGTCAGTCAAGCACACTATGATCGTTTGTACGGTTCCTAACACCTGATAAGTCCCAAGGAGGAGGTTCAGGAAATTGCGTCCAAGGGAGGCCAGGCCAGTCACCAAGGCAGCCAGACCAGTCACAAGGGTGGCTTCGCCAGCATGGACGCTGATAAGCAGGTATGTGGCCAGAGATCTCGGGTAACAATCCGTGAAGCTAACGTCACGTCAGCGTGAGATTGCCTCTGAGGGTGGCAAGGCGTCATCAGGCTCTTTCGAAAAGGGCAGCGAGAAGGCCAAGGAGGCCGGTCGCAAGGGTGGCCTGTCTAGCTAGAGCAGCGAAGGACCTGGGCTCATCCATCGGATAGAATGAATTTCATTCAATGATGATAAGTAAATTGAAGTTTGCCGATATGCAGTGTATGCAAAGGTCGCTGCAGGTGATCTCGAATGGCATGTATGCTGTGTAGCTTGCATAACACGGGAAATTGAACAAATAATTGGCTTGTGAGCTAGGAATGACTTGCAGGAAAGCTGACGCGATACATCTTAATTTCTAGGCGAGCGTAGTGATTTCTGTACATTCGATCACACAAAGGTTGGTCACCTCCAAAAGTCGTTCTGCACACCGAAGGCTTGCGCCAAGCCAAGATGTCAGAACGTACAACCTTCGTGCTGACAGGATGCTTGAGGCGTGATAGCAGCGGACCAGGACCTCGCACTCAAATTGAGCAATCCAGCAGAAGCACACGTTGATATACAACTCAAATCTTACGAGGAACCTTGCGACGCTGAGAATAGTTGAGAAGCCGATCGGGATTCAGCATGGCCTGCGCATGTCGTTCAACGTCATCAAAGCGCATCGCGCCACATGTCTCGCTCTCTAGGCGGTTGAACAGTGCTCCGGCATTGCAAACTTCCTGCGGCATCTCATGCTTTGGACAGTGATACAGCGCCTGCTGGGGGGCTGGAGAGTTCAGATGCTGGTTCAGTGAGGATCGCAGGTTGAAGACTTGGTGGCAGAGGTCAGTCTCCCATGCGTTGATGAGGTTGTTGTAGGCCCGGTCGGTCACATGAGCGACAGTAGCAGTGGTAGTCCACCTTGTGTTGTTCAATATCGCCGAAGAAGTCGAAACAGAATTCACAGGACATTTCCGTGGAGCGAACGCACTCGTCCCCCCAGTGGCCCTGTGTGTCCATGTGCTGGGCCGCATCCTTCGAGCTGTCGAAATGACGGTCACATGTGTCGCATTCGTACTCGGGAACCGGTGGCCGAGGGCATTCATGTGTTGCTGGCGGGCTCGAAGGCTCGTGGACGAACGTCCGTAGTTGCCACATACCGTGTTCAGCGACATGAACGTGTTCTCTGGTAAGTCTAGGTGCCGTATGGGTGGGCACCAGTGCGGTGAGATAGGTACCTAGGTTAGGTAGCCAGCCTGCTTCTGCGGCGACGTAGTATGCGAGCGCTGTTGTTCATAGTGGTGCCAGAAATGCGATGCTGGATGGGGTTCGCTCCAGAAAAGGCTAATCGACGAGCCAAGTGTGCTCAGTGCGGTCTCGGCGACACAGTGGGATCGATGATCAAACGTATGTGAGGATCTCGCCAACGTGCCGATTGAATGGGGCATTCCCTTCCTTTGTGCGAGGCGCAATGTCGATTCCTCAAACATCTTGGCCGCCGTGATTCCGCTTCCTTTATCTAAGGTGCCTAAACTGTACTTTGAGTCATGGCCCTTGCATCGAGAGCTGCAACTCTAAGAACCCTAGGACACTGCCCAAAATCGAGCGGCATACCGAATCTTACCTCCTCTGTAAAGGGCCGGCTTCCTGTTGCTGATACTGGCATCACCAGCACTTCTGATGGCGAACCCTTTTGTCGCAAGCATGGTGTTGAAGAACCAGGCAAGGTAGGCTCAATTGAGAAGCAAATGTTTGGCATTTACCTGCAGCTCATGTTGCCTGCAGCCCCCTCCCCCTTCTCGAAAGTGCGGTGCGCAGTACCTCTGCTCCGTTGCACATGAGTCGTTGGAAAAAGGACAGGCGGCCGACTGTTGAACAAAAAACTCCAAGCGCCATCTCATTTGCAAAGTGGGAGTTTTGATCTGAAGGCCATGCATTGCAGCAAGATAGGAATAACACCAAAAGCATGGTTCTCCCAGCTCGCTAATGGTATCATGTTCGGGTACTTGCGTAGACTGAGTTGCCTGCATCGATCGATTCTACCTATCCTTGAACCCGGCGTACTTCCAGCCAGACACGAGACCACCAGTCTCTTCATATAAAGAGATTGCCGACATGTCTGACTAAAGCCTCAATTCGAGACGACAGCCGCACAGCAATTGCTGACGAAGAAGTTCCAGGCCCTGAGGCGGAAATTTACATTGCTGCGGCGCTGGCTACCCCGGATCTTCAAGAACAGTGATCCTGGGAAATACTCAGGGGTCTGAAACCTAGCACGCCCCGAACGCCCAGGAGATTGGTCAACCACTGGGCCTCGTCGTTTGGTCTTGATGATCGCTGGGCCGATACTCGAGTGATAATCTGGTTTTCCGAAAAGTTGGCGCTCCGTCGCATTGAATTTCCCAGAGAAGCATCCTGGGAACTTGACTTGGACGAAAACACCAGTCTTTAGATGCAAATACGCACGAGTCACTTCCCGGAACGGCTGCGTGCCATGGCAAGATGAGATGACAGCCTTACAAGCACCTTCTGCTACCTGAGGTAGTCAACCTGCAGGGACAGGGCTGGGCCCAACTCCGCCCAACTCAGACGCTGGGGCCAAGATAGATGGCGACCGCTCCTCCACTTTCGTTTGTGGCCGCTGAAACGACGCGCCCCTGAGTCGAATAGATGCCAACGGCCGGGGAGGGCAATCTCTCATGTCATCGTCGACAGTTGGCGGCTTCTGCTGCCGAATCCGACTGATTGCCCCCTGGAAGTGTGGTGCAGGGCAGGATCTATGTATACTGAGTGTTGAACGCCATCGTGGTTGTTGGCTTTTCTTCCTCAGCGTCTAGCCGTCTCTCTTTCGAACCACGTTCCTTTCCAAACCGACTTGTCGTCATTCATTCAGTCATTCATTTTCTTCGTACACACTCTTTTCAAAGCCCGTCAGGATGAGGCTCACACTTTCGTTTCTTCTCAACGTTTCGCTGTCGCTTGCGCAGCTGACGACATCGTCGCTCGAGAAGCACGTTGACTCGGCGACTCTCGCCCACTCTTACAACCCCGTCAAGGAGGCCTACTGGACTGGCTACCCTCACCACCGTCGAACTCCCTTCGCTCTCTCGCCCGATGGCAAGACGGCCTACCTCGCTTATCTCGATGCCAGTGAGACGGACGTGCACGTCCAGCCCATCAACCCCACTACTTTTGCTGCCACGGGCACCTCCGTCACTATCAAGGGCGCCAAAGAGGCCGGTGGTCTCGTCGCCCACGACGATGGTTTCGCCCTGTTGACCAACGAGGCTCTTCCCTCCGGCACCTCTAACGCCCCTGCCGGCAACACCCCCGTTCCTGTTCTTTACCGTTACAACGCTGCTGGCACGCAATCCTGGAAGACCTTCCTCGGAGGCCCCGGTGTTGATGCTGAGAACGGCCTTGTCGCCTCGCCCGATCTCAACGGTGACCTTGTCTTCTCCGCTGAGGCTGGCTACTACGCCGCTTACTTTGTCGTGACTGCCTACAGCGGCTGGGCCGAGGGTCACTTTGGCGATGCCATCCGCTACGTCAAGCCTGATGGCACTCTCGAGAACATCCCCGGCGCTTCGTCCTCGTGGGGCTGCAGCCACAACACCGGCATTGCCTTTGAGGCTGCCGATGCCCCTCCCTACGCGTCCATCTGTGCCGAGGACCAGGGCGCCATCTGGCTCAACACCAAGACGCAGGGCATGGGCAACAACGGCGTCAAGGTCTCCAACGAGAAGGTCATCAACGGTGGCAGCAACGAGCCCATGGGCGGAACCAGTGGTAGCTACAGCGGTCTCGCCCGTTTCGGCTCTGCCAGCGAGTACATCTTCTCCTGGGTCTCGCGCGGCGCCATCGACCTGACGACCAACGACTGGATGGGCGCTGGCTACACCAAGTCGGCGAACCGCACCAGCAACCGCAACGTTGCCATCGCCCTCTTTTCCGACAAGTCGACCATCGTCGGTGAGCAGGCTACGTCTGTTGTCGGCGCCGCCGATGGTGACAAGCAGATCAACTGGGTCACCGAGGGCACCGCCGACTGCTCCAATGCCCACGTCGCCGCCTTTGACGCCTCGCAGGCCCTCGTCACTTGGGAGGAAATCGCCAGCCCCATCTGCGACTTTGAGGCCATGGGCTGCCGCGGCAAGTTCACCGGCACCCACTACCAGCTCGTCAACAAGGCCGGCGAGAAGGTCGGCAGCCCCATCGAGTCCCTCGACACCACCGTCTCCGGCGACCTGGTCACCATGTCGGACGGCAGGATCTGCTGGCCCTATGTCAACATGGAGTGGCGCCTCGACGCCGTCACCCGCGCCCTGCCCGCCTCGACCACGAGCGACATCTCGTTCGCCTGTATCAGTCTCGGCGGTGCAAGCTCCCCCGCCGAGCCCGTGCCCGAGACCCCTGCCTCCTCCGCCGCGGCCGCCCCCGTCTCCTCCGCTGCCGAGACCGAGGCTGCCGCTCCCGTTGAGACTGAGGCCGCTGCCCCCGTAGTTTCTGCCCCTGCCGCGTCCGAGCCCCGTGTTGCCGAGTCCGCTGCACCCGTTGA